TTGTGGTTTTGATTTGCATTTCCCTGATGACTAGTGCTGGTAAGGATTTTTTTTACATATATATTTTTTGGCCATTTTTCCATGTTCTTTTTGTAAAACATTTGTTTTTCAAAAACTTCTACTCATTTTATATGAGGTGACTTGTCTGTTTCTTCCCTTTTTTTCCACTGCTTAATTTGTTTGAGTTCTTTATAGATTCTGGATACGAGACCTTTATCAGATGTATAATTTGTAAATATCTCCTCTCATTCTGTACCCATTCTGTAAACTGTTGATTCTCTCTGTTGATTATTTCCTTTCTATACAGAAGCTTTTAATTTAATTAAATCCTATTTTTCAAATTTTCTTATTGTTCTATTTGCTTTTAGTGTCTTTGTCATAAATTGTTCTCCTAGGTTGATATCTAGAAGAGATTTCCTTATGTTCCCTTTTAGAATTTTTATACTTTCATGCCTTACAGTTATGTCTTTTATTAATCTTGAATTTATTTTTGTATAGGACAAGAGCTAAGGGTACTGTGTCATTTTTCTGCAGGTGGCTATCCAATTTTCACAGCCCAACTTATTGATAGGGGTTCCTTTCACCAGTGGATGTGTTTCTCTGCTTTATCAAAGATGAGTTGTTTATAGGAATATTATTCTGGTGGGGGCACACTAAAAGCCTTAACTTCAGCATTATCAATGTGTCAAGGCAACAAAATGATTTATACTCCTTTAATTTTTAAGCAAAAAGTTTAAATTTAATTAAAAACAAAATAACAACAAAATGCTCAAGGCCACAAAAAAATAATATTTGCAAAATCTATTTCTGAGCTTATTTCATTTTCAATTGACTTACCATGTTTGGCTACATCTTCTGATCAAAAGATAATCTGAAAGAATTTTTAATTAACTTCATTTTACTGATTCCTTTTATACCAAATTATGACATGGTCATCCTAACCTATACATTTGGTAACATGTTTGCAGCATTGATTTTTTTTAAAAAATTATTGTATTAAAATTATATAAAAATGGGAAAACATATCATGCTCATTGATCAATAGAATCAACATTGTTAAGATGTGCTTAGTACTTGAAGTGATTTGAAGATTAAATGGAATCCTCATCAAAATGCCAACATATTTCACAAGCTTAGAAAAGATAAGTCATTAAAAAAAAAAGAAAGAAAAGATAAATCATTGCTTCATTTGGAACAAAAAAAGGGTCCAAAGTAATCATAACCAGAAGAAAAATCTGAAGGCATCACATTTATAGCCTTCAAATTATACTACAAGGCTATAACAATGAAAATAGCATAATATGGCAAAAGATAGACACATAACACCAATGAAACAGAACAGAGAATCCAGACATAAAGCTACCCAAATACAGCAAACTGATCTTTGATAAAGCAGACCACAAAATACACTGGGAGAAAGAACATTATTCAATAAATAGTGCTTGGAAAACTGGATGGCCACATGCAGAGGAAAGATACAGGATCCACATCTCTCATTCAATCACAAAAATTAATTCAATGGATGAAAGACTTAAATGTAAGTCCTGAAACCATAAAAATACTAGAAGAAAATGTAAAAATATTGGTGAAGACAAAGAATTTATGACTAAGACCCCAAAGGCAATTATAGCTACAGCAAGACTAAATAAATGGGAATGAATTAAATTAAAAAGCTTCTGTACAGAAAAGGAAACAATCCACAGAGTAAACAGTTAAACTGCAGAATGAAAGAAAATATTCACAAAATCTACATCTGACAAAAGGCTAATATTCAGAATTTACGAAGAACTTAAACCATCACGAAAAATACAAACAACCCCATTAAAAAGAAATGAACAAGAGATTTTCAAAAGACAGACAATTGACCAAGAAACACATGAAAAAATAGTCGCCATCACTAATTATCAGGGAAATGCAAATTAAAACAACAATAATGTATCACCTTACACCTAGCAGGAAGGGCTTTTATGAAAAAGTACAAACACAATAGATGCTGGTGTGGATGCAGTCAGAAAGAAACACTTATAAACTGTTGATAGGACTTCAAATTAGTATAAACTCTATGTAAAAGAGTGTGGAGATTTCTCAAAGAACTAAAAGTAGACCTACCATTTCAGCCAGTAATCTTACTACTGGGTAACTATGCAAAAGAAAAGAAATCATTTTATGCAAAAGACACCTGCACTTACATGTTTATTGCAGCATAATTCACAATTGCAAAGATGTGCCATCACCCCAGTTCCTATTAATTCATGAGTGGATACAAAAATGTGGCATGGGTTTCCATTGTTCAGCTGTGAACCATGAAGTAAGGCGTTTTGCAATAATTTGGATGAAACAGGAGACCATTGTCCAAGGTAAAGTATCTAAAGAATGGAAAATTAAATACCATATGTTCTCTGTTAAACTGGACCTAAGGGAGGGGCATACATAGTCACAGAGGGAAGTAAAAGTCATTGGAAATAAAGGAAAGAAGACAGGGAATTGGAGTTGGACAAAAACCTACCTGTTACAATGAATACAATCTGGATGACTGGCACCCTTATAACCCTGAATCATGCATCACAAAATGATCCAAAAGACCAATATATTGGTAACTCCATATATTTTGAAATTAAAAAGAAAAAAAAAAACCCTAAAAGAAAGAAAGAGAAATAAAGAGAGAATGAGAAAAATAACCAGTGACATTAGTAACTGATTCTGTTGGTACCCAGGGTTAGACATAGTGTAATCAGCTCATCCTGGTTTGCCTGGATCTATGGCAGTCATATCACAGAAACTCACACGTTTTCCTCTTTGGACACCAGGCAAATCAAAGTGAATGTCACCCACAAACTGATACGTTCTTATTGCCGGTGTACTACTTATCCTTCTGTCTATCTGCTTTGGTTCTCTGCCACATGGAGCAAATTATAAAAACATCCTCTTCCCAAGTGTCATGGATAGAACTGGGAGACACCCCTGCAGTAGGTTGTACAGGAAGAGATGCCTGTTAGTGTTGGTTCTGGCTTTTGCAAGTGAATGAACTTAGACCAAAGCATGGATTTAATTCAACAACATGCACATATCAGCACCTCACCACTCCCCATAGACCCTTCCTAATCTACATACAACACAAGTAATAGGGTGAGCAGAGAGAACTTTGGAACCCTCCCAGGCCAGTAGGAATTATCACAGGACCAGGTGGCGACCAGAGCAGGAACAATGCTGATGATATGATCACTTTCCTTTTATCTGAAAACAGTTTCTATGAGTTATTCACAATTAGGAAACAGATCAAAAACTTACTTCTGATATATTCTTAACACTTACTACAACTTCCTTCCTCCTTTATAATTCACCCAGTGACCATGCAAAACAGTGGAAACAACAAGGAAAAATTTTACCCATTGGTCCAAACTTTGGAGGCCCAGTGTATAAAAGGCCCATATTGGAAGACATCAGCAGATTCTAGGAAGGTCACCTCTGAACAGGAACCCATCCTCGATACAGACACCATGACCCACTGCTGCTCCTCTTGTTGCCAACCCACCTGCTGCAGGACCACCTGCTGGCAACCCACCTGTGAGACCACCTGCTGCAGCACACCCTGCTGCCAGCCCTGCTGCCTCCCAACTTGCTGTCCAACCACCTGCTGCAGAACTACCTGCTGGAAACCCACCTCTGTCACCACCTGCTGTAGCACACCCTGCTGCCAGTCCAGCTGCTGTGTGTCCAGCTGCTGCCAGCCCTGCTGCCTCCCCACTTGCTGTGGCACCTCCTGCTGCCAGCCCAGCAGCTGTGCACCCGTCTACTGCACCAGGACCTGCTACCAGCCCACATGCGTCTGCCTGCCTGGTTGTCTGAACCTGGGCTGTGGATCCAGCTGCTGCCAGCCTTCCTGCTGCTGATCAATACTCCTAATGAAGACCAAACACTCACCACATTTCAACTTGGCATCAGCCAACCAAGCTCATGCAGCCCCTCTAGGCTTGCTATCATCCATCTACCCTTGGATTGTCTTGTTATTAAGGGTCTCAAGTGTCTGCTTGATGGAGTCAGCCTACTTCATCCACTTTTCTCCTCAGTAGCTGTCAAGTGGCAGCTCCAGCTCTTGGTCTATTTTGCCTGTTCTTAATCTTGAGTCATGTTCTCAGATGTGGACATCTTCATCCTTTCACTCTAAGTAGCCCCAAAACTCAGCAAACAGACAAAAACCTATGGCTTTTCTCTGAACTCTTCCCAATAATGAGTGATATTTTTCCCAATGAATTCACTATTTTTGTGCCCTATCCTTTACCCTTTATGCCCACTTTACATTCTCTCCCTACTTACATGGAGTTTAATTCCTAATAAATTCCTCACCTATTTAATTCCTAATAAATTTATATTACCTTACTTCTTTTCTTGCATTTATATTTATTTCTGCAGCATTTCCTTCATAAGAGCTCAAATTCACACTGCATTTCACTGGCATCATTTCTTCATAGCCTCACAATAACCTCACAATGAGGTCAGAGCCAAGAGTATCTTTGACAACCTACAGATCAGAAAAGTTTCTTGCTTAATGTGAATTGTCCCTGTCCCTGCTCACTCTTATTATATGTCTTGGGTACTTTGATTGATGACTTACGGCAAGTGAAAATAACTGAGCACTGGGGAGTTCTGCATTTGCCCAGTTTCACTAGCAGGGAAATCTTTACATGACACATTCAGGCACTTATCTGTGCACAAGTACAGGAATGGAAGAACAAGATAAGGAACAAGCCATGATTGGTATGAGGGCTATACTAAGGGGAAAAGGCAGGGATCCTATGAAGAATGGAAAACCAAAGAGCACTCACAAGCATTTGAACTTTTCTCGGCTGATGCCACTTATAAGAGGAAAACAGGGTTTCAGGACCAGGTTGTTCCCACAGCCAAGCTAACAGAGGTAAGCAAACATATTAAAATACTTCCTAGTCTCCAAAGAACCTGCCGAACAATCCAGCTTTCTAGCCTAGTAGATTCTGAGTTCCATGATTTCCTCGCAAATTTTTGGAACAAAATGAAGACATGAATTATCAAAACCTGTGGGATACTGCACAAGCAGTCCTAAGAGGGAAATTTATAGCACTGGAAGCATTCATCAAGAGAACAGAAATAGAGGAAGTCAACAACTTAATGGGTCATCTCAAACAACTAGAAAAGGAAGAACATTCCAACTCCAAACCCAGCAGAAGAAAATAAATAGCCAAAATTAGAACAGAATTAAATGAAATTAAAAATAAAAGAATCATTTAGAAGATCAGCAAATTAAAAAAAAGTTGGGTTTCTTTTTTAAAGATGAACTGCACCCATTTTAAAGCAGAGTAGGAGGAGCTCAAGGAGGCAGTGTTACATGTTCCAACACGTGCCACTGAACATCCTGCAAATGGCTTGATGGGTTGCCAAATTCCACACTAATTCTGAATTACAAGTTTATCATTAGAGACGCAGAACAAAGACAAGACAGGATCAGGCATTCTCCCACGTACCCAGGGAAATCCACAGAATTTATACTTTTTTCACTCCCTTTTTCTCTTCTAACATTCACCATTTCTTCTGTAAAATGTGTATTTTCCTGGATCTCACAAGAATTAGACCTCTTTGTTTCTCTACTCACCCTGACCCTGTCTTTTTTTCTTTCTATTTCTCCCCTTTAATACTGAAACTCCAAAATTCCCCTTCACAAAAGCAGCCACAAATTTATCTTGCTCTGTGTTTTTTCCTGGACATGTTCTCCACTTTTCAGTGGTCTCAACCTTCCTAATGCCATGACCCTTTAATACAGTTCCTCATGTTGTGGTGACCCCCACACATGAGGAGTGGTGTCTCAGTTCCTAAGACCATCAGAAATACGTGTTTTCTGATGGTCTTAGGTGACCCCTATGAAAGGGGAAAGGGTCGTTCGACCCCCAAAGGGGTCATGACCCATAGGTTGAGAACCACTAGTAAACCTCCATTGATAGAGACCTTTGCCTGAGTCACTTCTTTTGGGTAAACAAAATTAAGCCAGTGTATTTGATTTATTACAACAAATGCAGGGAAAGTTTGACATTTGAAAATTATTGTGCCATTCATCACCTTAACCAAACAAAATAAAAATTTCCTATGATACACTTAATCATTATGTACAATACACTTTATACCTTTCACCACACCTTGCATGATTAATAAATTTATTAGGAGATTATGGTTAAAAGAGACCCTTCATATTCTGATAAAACTGTATCTATCAAAACAGAGTGGTATGAGTGAAAAGGTGATTGAGTACTTCCCAAAAGTGTATCCTCCATAAAAGCAGTGAGAAATTGGCAAAAAAAAAAGTCAGAATCAACTTTTTTAAAACTCTAGCTTTAGCCAAGGGTTTGAAACAACCCACAGGTTGAGAACTGCTGGCCTAGACAAAGAATTTATCACTAAATCTTGGTAAGAACCTTTCTGGCTAATTTAGCTTATCCTAGAATCATTCCCTCCCCCACCTCCATAGTTGCCTTGAAAACAAATAGCTCAAAATTTGCATAAAACCAAGCAGTCCAGCAGCCACTGAATGGGACAGAACAGGGGTGGGCTTCCTTCTGAACCCATTCCTAGAGAAGTGTCATTATTCGATCTGTCTGGGGTTTTCCTGGAACACCCACCTTATAGATTCTTTATTTGAGATGATTCAGAGCTTGCTAAGTGTAAAATGCCTTTTCTCTGGAGAACTGTTTAAGCTCTTGGATACACTTGGGAACAACAATAGAATAACCAAAAAACTTAACATGAAATGCTGGAGAATGAGCTGGGCACAGGAGCTTTCATAACCTCTGACATACTTCTGAGAATCTAAGTGGTCATGGACAAGCCCAGGACGATGTTCATGACTCAGAATGTGTACATGCCCAAGATCCAAGATTTTGTAATAATGGCCATTTTGACAAGGGTCAGGTGGTACATCATTGTAGTTTTAACTTGAATTTTCCTGATAAGTGGTGTTAAGCATTTTTTTCATATCCCTGTTGGCCATCTGTGCATCTCCTTCTGAAAAACTCTTTTTCATGTCTTCTGCTCACTTTGTGTAGGGTAGTTTGTTTTTTTTCTTCCTGATTTGTTTGAGTTCTTGGTAGGTTCTGGATATCAATGTTTATCATATGTATAGTTTGTAAATATTTCTTCCCATTCTGTAGATTGTTGATTCTCTCTGTTGATCATTTCCTTTGCTGTATAGAAGCTTTTTTAATTTAATTACATGCAATTTCTGTTTTTGTTGTTGCATTTGCCTTTGGTATCTTAGTCATAAATCCTTTCCCTAAGCCAATGTCTAGAAGAAATTTCTTAATTTTTTTTTGAGAATTGAATTTTTATGCTTTCATGCCTTAGCGTTAAGTCTTTTATCCATCTTTAACTTGTTTTTTTGTACAGGACAAGAGCTAAGGGTACTGTTTCATTCTTTTACACATGGCTATCCAGTGTTCTCAGAACTAGGTATTGAATAGGGGTTCCTTTCTTCAGGGAATGTTGTAGTCTGCCTTGTTGATGGTAAGTTGGTTTTAGGCCCACTATTCAGTGGGGCAAAGCATGCAACAAAAACATTAGGATCCCCTTAATTTTGAAATTCAAAAAGTCTAAGTTTATTTTAAACCAAAACAAATCAAAAGGAAAATATCAAGCAGCAGAAAAAAAAAATTAGCAAAATCTTTTTCTAATCTTATCTCATTTTCAGTTGAGTGACTTACCATGTTTGACATCTTTTGACTAAATGATAACTTTAAATAATTTTTAATTAACTTCATCTTACTGATTTATTTTATAGAAAATTGTGGTATGGTATTCCTAACCTATACATTTGTTAATAGGTTTGCAATATTCACTTTTTTTATTTTTGCATTAAAGTTATCTAAAAATATAAAAACACATCATGTTCATGGATCAGTAGAATCAACACTGTTAAAATGTCCATACTACGCAAAATGATTTAAAGATTCAATGCAACCCCTATCAAAATACCAATATCATTTTTCACAAATTTGGAAGAAAATAAGTCTATCATTCACTTGGAACCAGAAAAGCCATAGCCATAGCAATCTTAAGAAAAAGAAAAAATTGGGAGATATCACATTCTAGACTTTAAACTATACTACAAGACTATAGGAACCAAAATAGCATGGTTTTCACACAAAATGGAGACACAGACCAATGGAAAAGAACAGAGAACCCAGATATAAATCCATAAATCCATCCAACTGATCTTTGACAAAGCTGACAACAATATACACTGGGGAAAAGAAGTCCTATTCAATAAATGGTGCTGGGAATATTGGATAGCCCCACATGCAGAAGAAAGAAACAAGATCCATATCTCTCACTACTTACAAAAATTAATTCAAGAAGGTTAAAATACTTCAATGTGAGGCCTGAAGCCATAATAATTCTAGTAGAAAATGTAGGAAAAACTCTGATAAGAGTATTGGCATAGCCAGTAGTTCTCAACCTTCCTAAGACCGCAACCCTTTAATATGATTCCTGTGGGTCACAACCCACAGGTTGAGAACCACTGGCCTAGATAAAGAATTTATTACTAAGAGCCCCCCCCCAAACAATTACAGCAGCAAAAATAAATAAATAGGACTTTATTAAATTAAAAAGCTTCAGCACAGAAAATGAAACCATCAACAGAGCAAATAGATAACCTACAGAATGGTAGGTAATATTCACATAATCTACATCTGATCAGGGGCTAATATCCAGAATTTACAAAGAACTCAAATATATCAAGGAAAAAGAGACAAATAAAGCCATTAAAAAGACATGAACAGAAGCTTTTCAAAATAAGACAGACAAATAGCCAACAAACACATGAAAAAATGTTCAACATCACTAATCATCAGGGAAATGCAAATTAAAACCACAATGAGACATCACCTTATCCTTGCTAGAATGGCTTTCATTAAAAAGTTTAAAGATGACAGGCAACACTGGTATGGATGCAGAAAGAAGCACTTACAAACTGTGGTAAGATGGCAAATTAGTACAATCTCTATGGAAAATAGTGTGGCGATTCCTCAGATGACTAAAAGTAGACCTACCATTTGATGCAACGATCCCACTACTGGCTATCTACTCAAGGGAAAAGAACTCATTTTATGAAAAAAAAAAAAACACCCCACACTCAAATGTTTCCTGAAGCACAATTCACAATTGCAAAGAAGTGCCATCACCCCAAGTGTCCATTAATTCATGAGCGGAGAGACAAAATGTGGCATATGCATCCATGGATAGTTACTCAGCCATGAATGATAAAGTAAGACCTTTTGCAACAATTTAGATGGAGGAGGAGACCCCTATTCTAAGTAAGGTATGTAAATAGTGGAACAATGAATACTCCATGTGCTCACTAATAAATGGGAACTAAGTGAGGGACACATTTGAGCACAGTCATTGGAAATCAAGGAAGGTGGAGGAGGGAGGGGCAAAAACCTACCTAACTGTTACAATCACCACTATCTGGAGGATGAGCACACTTATATGCATTTTAAAGTGATCCAAGTATCCAAGAATATTTATATCCCCATAATATTTTGAAATTAAAAGGGAAAAATTTATATTAAAAAGTAAGAAAGACAGAGAAGGAAAAAAAGGCTCCGTCCGTGACCTAAGTAACTTAATTCTGATGGTACCGGGGGATAGAACACAAGTCACCAACTCATCCTGGTTTGCCTGGATCTATGGCAGTCATATCACAGAAGCTCCCACTTTCTCATCTTTGTAAGCCAGGCTAATCAAGATGATGTCACCCTCACACTGAACCCTTGTTACTCCCAGTATGCTACTTATCCTTCTGTCCATATGCTTTCTTTCTGCTTTACCACATGGAATAGATTGTAAAAAACATCCTCTTCCCAGGTGTCATGGATAGAACTGGGAAACACCCCTGCAGTAGGTTGTACAGGAAGAGATGCCTGTTAGTGTTGGCTCTGGCTTTTGCAGGTGAACAAACTTGGACCAAAGCATGGATTCAATTCAACAATCTGCACATATCAGCACCCCACTTCTCCCCAAAGACCCCTCCCAATCTACATACAGCACAAGCAACAGGCTGGGCAGAGAGAACTTTGAAACCCTCCCAGGCCAGTAGGAATTATGACAGGACAGGTGATGACCACAGCAGGAATGATGCTGATGATATGATCACTTTCCTTATTTTTTTTTTTTTTGTATGAAAGGTCTTTATTGGTGGGGGAGGGAGGCTGCAGAGCAGCACCAAGGAGGAGAGAGAAGGGAAGAGAGGAGAGAGATGAGGAGAGAGTGGAGAAGAGAAGAGAGAGAGGGAGAGTAGAGAAGAGCAGGGGCAGGGGAAGAGAAAGAGAGAGAGAGATAAAGAGAGAGAGAGAAAGAGTGATCACTTTCCTTTTATCTGAAAACAGTTTCTACGAGTTATTAGCAATTAGGAAACGGATCAAAAACTTACTTCTGATATATTCTTAGCACTTACTACAACTTCTTCCTTTATAATTCACCCAGTGACCATAGAAAACAATGGAAACAACAGGAAAAAAATGTGCCAATTGGTCCAAACTTCGGAGGCCCAGTATATAAAAGGTCCACATTGGAAGGCATCAGCAGATTCTGGGACACTCACCTCTGAACAGGAGCCCACCCTCCACACAGGACGCCATGACCCACTGCTGCTCCCCTTGCTGCCAGTCCACCTGCTGCAGCACGCCCTGCTGCCAGCCCAGCTGCTGCCACCCAGCTTGCTGTCTAACCACCTGCTGCAGGACCATCTACTGGCAGCCCACCTGTGAGGCCACCTGTTGCAGCACACCCTGCTGCCAGCCCAGCTGCTATGAGTACAGCTGCCTCCAGCCCTGCTGCCGCCCAACTTGCTGTCCAACCACCTGCCGCAGGACCACCTGCTGGTGGCCAACATGTGAGACCACCTACTGCAGCACACCCTGTTGCCAGCCCCACTGGAAGCTGCTGCCTTCCAACCTGCTGTCCAACCACCTGCTGTAAGACCACCTGCTGGCAACCCACCTCTGTCATCACCTGCTGCAGCACACCCTGCTGCCAGCCCAGCAGCTGTGCACCTGTCTACTGCACCAGGACCTGCTACCAGCCCACCTGCGTCTGCCTGCCTGGCTGTCTGAACCTAGCTGCTGCCAGCCTTCCCGCTGCTGATCCACTCTCCAAAAGACCATCATCATCACACAACAATCTTTTATCAAATGACTTATCTTATGGGGGACAAAATCTCTTCTAAACTTTTCTGAAGGCCAGTATGCTTTAACCATAATTTCTATTATTCATCTATATCTTTACATCTTTGTGAATCAGGTGGAGCAAGTGCAGAGTACTTCTTCCTGATTCTCTTCTTCCTCATCCCTAAGGGATCACATGCCAGCTTCTTGTATTCTTGCTTTGGAGTTACAGTCTTGGCTTTGACTGTAATATCAAGACCTTCACTCTCTCCCTCTAAGTAACTTAGGAAAACAAACCCTCTCATCTTTTCATGGTTTCTGATATTGACCAATCATTATCATAATCAAGCTTTCTTTTTGAATTGACTCACATTTTTAATATCCTTTTTTCTTCTTTTTATCATCAAACATTCTTATCTAAGTATTTCTTAATAAATTGTGAGCCTTTATTCATCTCGTGTTGTGTTTTGTTCCATTGTACTTCTTTCTGATACAGCAACTTGTATACGTATGGCATGCCATATATATTATCCATTTTTCTTTTCAATACAGTTACCCTTGTATTGTTAATATCATTTTTTTCAGATGAGAAAACTTCATAGCATAATGTCTTGTAGTGAATAATAGTCACACTGACATCCAGGACTGGGTCTGCGGTGTCTGCTCAAGGGCACCTGCATGTCCATCTCAAAGCAACTAGAACTGCTACTGGAGAATGAGAACTGGTGAGCTGTGCACTTGAGCAACAACAACAACAAAAATCAGACAAGTGGGAACGCATCAATCTGAAAAGCTTCTGCACAGCAAAGCAAACAATGAAGGACATGAAAAGACAATCTATGGGATGGGAGAAAATATTTGTAAACCACATATCTGATAAGAAGTTTATTTCCAAAATACATAAGTAACACTTACAATTCTATAGTCAAAAAAAATAGCCTGTTTAAAAAATGAGAAAAGGACTTGAGTAAACATTTTTCAATGAAGGCACATGAATGGACAACTGGCATACAAAACATGCTCAACATCGTCACTAATCATCAGGGAAATGCAAATCAAAACCATAATGCCATATCACACATACCTATCAGAATGGCTGCTACCATGAAGACTAAAAGTTACAAGCATTGGGAAGGATGTAGAGAAAAGGAAATTCTTGTACACTGTTGGTGGGAATGTAAATTGGTAGAACCATTATGAAAAACAGCATGGGCATTCCTCAATAATTAAAAATAGAACAATCCCTTTTCTAAAATACACTGCAAGGAAATGATAGCAGCGTCCCAAAGACATACTGGCACACCTATGTTAGTTGCAGCAGTACTTACAATAGCCAAGATATGGAATGTCCACCAATGGATAAAAAAAAATAAGGAAAATATTTCATCTATCTGCAGTAAAATAGTATTTAGCCTTTAGAAAGAGGGAAACCCTGTCATTTAAGATGACATGGAAGATCTAAAGGAATAGCCAATCACAGAGAAACAAATACCACATGACCTTACAGAATGGTAGTTCCCAGGGGCTGCAAGGGATAAATGAGGAGATTCTGTTCAAAGGCTACAGACTTTTAATTATCCAAGCTGAATCATTTTTGAAGATCTAATGTGCAGCAGTGTGACTTACCTAGAAAATATTGGACTCAGGTGGAAATTTATTAAGAGAGGATCTCGGGAGATCTCGCCACACATGAAAATAGTAGTTACTACATGAGGTGATGGGTGTGCTGATTAGCTTGATTGTGGTGATGTTTTTTTCACAATGCATATGTATACATATATCACAACATCATATCATGCATTTTAAATGCATGGAATTTTTATTTCACAACCATGTCTCAGTATGACTGGGGCAAAAAAGAAACTGTTTGCTACTAAACTTGAGGATGTTTAATTGCTTCTCTGGTATCTCTTGAAAATATAAGAATTATGATCTCTTAAAGAAGGTATTTGTCTATTGGTTGGCCCACCCATCATCAAGGGTGGGAAATAAGAAATACAAATTTCCAGACTTGCCCACATCAACAAACTATGTGAGATGAAATTGGAAAATACTAGGAAATATATGTCAAGGAGGACTACACAATATAGATGATGAGTGATCCATGAGATGGCATGAGCATATTCTACCCGGGCCCCAAAGCACTCGGCTACTGATTAGCATAACAGGACATAGAATGCTTTTCTATATGACTTGAACTCTCATAACCAAGATCTATGGTCCTCCACTTCCACAGCAGAGAACATAATGTAGAAGGCAGAGATGAATAGATGCATTCTTTTTGAGGGAGGTTAGTAGAGAAAATGATGATACAACTGAGAAGCATCTAACAAAGAATAAGGACTGATAACAAATGTCCACATATTTCATGTTAGTTCACATCACTAAAACAAACCCTAGTAGCAAAGAGAATATTTAGAAAAAACTAGTCTGAACAAAACAATAAAGATTAATTGGCAAGATCATTCATGAGAACCTTTGGTGGGGGAGAGGTGAGCTTCTTAAAGTTTATATAGCTAGACAAGGAAATGCTGTATATACTCAGAAATGTAGGCCACAGTTTGGGAAAAGAGATGCCCGAGGGCTGGCACAGTGCCTCGCACCTGCAATCTTAGCACTCTGGGAGGCCAAGGTGGGTGGATTACTTGAGCTCAGGAGTTGGAAACCAGCCTGAACAACAGCAAGCTCCGATCTCTACTAAACATGGAAAAACTAGCCAGGCATTGTGGCAGGTGCCTGTAGTCCTAGCTACTCGGGAGGCTGAGGGAACAGGATTGCTTGAGCCCAAGAGTTTGAGGTTGCTGTGAGCTATGACACTATGGCACTCTATTGAGGGTGACAGAGTGAGACTCTGTCTAAAGAAAAAAAAAAAAGGAAAAGGGAAGAGATGCCAGACTGCAGTTGAAATGAATGTATTTTCCCAGTACAGGAATCAAGACACATGGTGTCTAATAAGGGAAGGACCTTCTCAGCAATGCATGCTGACGGTCTCTCAACTCAAGTGACCACAACAGAGAAAAGACACGGGAGACCCAGGGTAGATGGTTGTTAACATAATGACATGCTTTTTAAGACAGATGCCAAAGGCTGGGGTCAGGAAATAACCCCAAGGAAGTGATTTTCACATATCTGGTTAAAGCAGACAATTAAACCCAATCACAACAAATAGTCGTCAGTGGGGTCAGTTCCTCTCCTGCCCAACTCCCCTCCCCACTCTATTGGTGCATGTCTGTTAAGGCAGATGCCAAAGGGAATGGGCTTCCACTGGGATAGAAATTCATATCGCTGGAGATATCTAAGCATTAGCTAAACTACAGGTTGGCAGTTATTAGGATAGACTATTAAAAATGTTCCATCTTCAGTAAGTGAATATTATCAGAAGACTCTAAGGATCCCTCATAGTCCTGAGACTCTATGAGGTCCCTAAATCTCTCTATCTTGTTCAAACAGTACAATTGATTGAGTGAGTGATTGATAACATTGCTGTCATTCTCTGGAACCTACAAGCACCAAAGGCATAACATTATTAAACAAAAATACAAGATTCTATGAAATTAAGTTATCTATTCAACCTGGGGATAAAAGGAAACTGACTTCCATGATCTTTACAAACACACCAGAGGCTGAACTTCATTACACAGATTAAGGAATCATATCCCATTTATATACAAAAGAACTCGCATCTTGGGGCATAACAACTTTATCGGATCCCACCAAAACACCATGGCAAATTACTAATTATAACTGTAACTCCTACAATTGAATTTTCACAAGTCTCTTGGCCAGTTGTTTCTCTATGCCTGTATATGCAAATACAAGACAAATAAAAACCAGAAGCTTAGTTTCTGAGCAAGAAATCAGAAGAGGTAAATTAGAAAGATTGGTATTAAGAAACATCTTGTGCATTTGGTCAACCTCATGCTCTTACTTAAGGAAATAGAATACTTGCGAAACAATTCCCTTCCCCTTGTGTAGTGTTTGATCAATGCCAACACTTGCTTGAAGGCTTCCCCTTATCTCAGCTTCCATGTTTGAACACCCTGCTCCTATTTAAGAAATATAAATTCAGGTTTTGACTCCTCATCAGACTGGAATAAGATCTGCCAGCCTTGACACCATTCATTCTAAGGTGCATAGCTTTAATTTGTTCCTTTCAAGGGCAATCTATTCTCTCTTATTTTCCTGTCCCATGACAACTCTCTGTGGTGTCCAATCTGTGATGTTTCTTATGTGTTAGGGTACACTTTTATTGGGTTCATTTCTGCCATCATTTTGCCAATTATGATATTACATGTCATATAAGTTTAACAGTATGCTCAGGCAAACTCCGCATTTCCTCTCCAATCTCAACTAAAATCTACATGTAAACTCAGTGGACTGGGTCTGGCTTTACATGTTCTATGGGCTTTCATGTCTGAGGTGTTTGTTGATCAGGCGATGATCTGATACCAACAGCCTTTTACTTATGATTCACCTCACACCTCCCCCCACCCTCCAGGTTTTCTTCAATAACTTTAGCTGCTGCTTATAAATCCCAGAATAATTTCCTCTTCCTATACTTTGAGTTAAAAGTTAAGTGCAATTGCTCACTTATGTTCTCTGTATTAACACAGTATTATAGATACAAACAATTATTAATTTTAGAAAATTGATCCAGACTTTGCTATTTCTGTTCAAAGTAGGTAACAAATTCTGCAATTTGGCTATATGTTTCTCCTTGGAATTCCCCATGGTTTGTGTGTTTTAAAGGGACCTGTGGGATGTTATAGTGCATCTTAAAGTGCATGTTATAGTGTACTTTTCCTATTTAAAAAGAAACAGTTGTTCCCCAGGCTCAGAACATACAATAACTCTGCTAGTGTATTTTATCGGGCATGAAAATGCACTCAGAAATGCTAATACAGGGAATAACATCAAGGTCAAATTGGGTACCATAGGGCACAAATCCTGGAGTGTTTAGAACTTATTTATTTAAAGAAGGTAGAGGACATAGAATAAGCAAATCAATATCGTGCCATATACATATGGTCATAACCACATGAATTGTTTTCAGAAATGCAAG